CCGCCCTAGCGGCAATAACCTCTCCACCCGGCGTATTTTCGGAAGTGCTGTTTGACCCGCGTGGGACGCTCATTAAGTGGCAGGCCAGCATTCTTGTTTTCCGCACTGGATCGCGCTGCTGGCGGCGCGGACTGGCGCGGACGCCGCACTTGTTGCCATGGCCCGTTGCATCACGGACACCACCAGGACGGCGGACTGGCGGTCGGACGGACGGACGGACAGGCAGACGGACAGACAGACAGAACGGTCCGACTCTACTTCTTCATGTCCTAGACCGATAATGAATTGACGGACGCTCCGCGAACTGATTGAGTTATTGTGATCGCGGTGCAGCGTCGCGCCGCTGCGTCTGTCTGCGCCGTCTCGTCCCGCGTCTGCAGTCCGCAGCCGGGAAGCCTCGCCTCCGTCTCGCATGACGGCGAAAACAGCGGCGAGAAAAAGAACAACTCGCAAACAAAAACGGGACCGACGCAAAACACACACAGCAACACTCAGTCGCCGTACGGTCGGCTGGATGCGCGCTGTTCGCTTCGGGACGGTTAATTGTTCAGGCGTTAAATGATAAGACGCTGTAATTTTAGAGCAGTGTTGCGTTCACTGCGACGTTTGTGTCAGTGTCTTTTGTTTTTTAAGCCGCGTCCTTATGGGCTCGCTCGCGGGTTTTACGGTGGACGTGTTCCGGCGGCGGACTCCGCGCTAAGGTCATGCCGGTCGTGCGTGGGCCCGGCACTTCGCTGAAAAGCCACTGAAAGCTCTGAAAGCACGCGAGCGGCGCGGGTTCGAGGGGCTAAATTTTTTGCAGGGTACACTCGCTACACGTCAACGAGCAGTCGCGTGGATGATGCTGTAACGCGGTGGCTGGGTTTATCTCCGGTGGTAAATGGAGGCCTAGATGACGGTGTGCCAACACACAGAGCCGCCACCGGTGTGCTGCATCTTCACCTTGAGCCGCACTGGCAGTGTGTCAGCAGCAGCAGCAGTAGTTCATGATCCGGCTCACCTGCTGCCAGCACACGGCGCGCTCAGAGTGATTGTCGGATTACAGAGTCGGGTTAAATGGCCGTGTCAAAAACGGCGCCGCCGGAGTGTCGTCGCCCTAAGGACCATCCGCGACCCACCACACGGGGCCAAATAAGGACCCCTGTCCCCCCGCCGCAATTGTTTACGTGGTTTATGGTAGGATTAGGCGTGGATTACAACAGAGGGCACGCCTGCCGGCGGTCTTGCCTGGCGGCTGCAGACTGAGTCGTTTTCGTCTCTCTGTCTCTCTCGCACTCATGGCGCGTACCGTAAAAATGCGAGAGGAAGCGCGAGCAGGCTCCAGGACGGCCAATGGGCGGACCGCTGACAATGCTCGCCTTGCTCACCGACGTGGCGGCAAAGGCAAAAAGTGCGGAATGCGACCGCTCCCTTTCCTCCATGCGATTGTCCCTCCTCGACCTTGACATCGAGATATCGAATAGCCGCCGCGACGAGGAGGCGCTCCTCTGCAGCTGCCTCGCACTCAATCAAGAATCATGTCGCCGCCGCGTCGCTGCGTCTGCCTTGCCTTGTCGGTCGGAACCGCCGGCCTGGCCTGGTCAGCGGCGGCCGGTTCGCGCCGTTCGCGGTGGCGACTGATTCCGAGGCACTCCGTCCTTCTCGCACGCACGGGGCGTCCCTTCGGGGCGCGACAGAGACGGAGTGTCGTGAATATGCGCGAATTAGCGCGCGAGGCGATAATGAGGCCGCTGGCGCCGCGACGACCGAGTGCGGGCCAGCAAGGGCCTCCTGACTCCTGGACGACAACAACAACACCGCCGAGGAGGTGGCGTGTCTTGGCGGCCTCTGCAGGCCGCAGCACGCCACGCCGCGCCGTCCGCGGCACAGATTTTGTCCGGCCGTGCTGTACGTCCTGCTGGCCGGCCCGCCCTAGGCCCGCCCATGGACCCGCCGCCACGCCGCCTCGCTGACCCACAAGCGGCAGCGGCGGCAATTTCTCTCGAGAGGCTCGACAGGTTGCCGTCGATGTGGCGGTGCCGGCAGAGCCGAGGCGGGACGCGGCGGGACGCGGCGGGACGCGGCGCAATCGCGGGGAAACGAAACAATTATTATAATCTCGCCGGCCCCGCCACGTGCCCGCACCCCCTCCCTCGCCTGGATCTGTGTCTTGCCGTCTTGTGTCGGCCGGGGCGGAGGAGGGGGCGGCGCGGGGGAGAGGGGGGGGGGGCAGGGGCGTCCCGACGCCACCAACGCCGCGCCGCCTCGCGGGCGCGGAGTCAGTCAGTAGCGCGACGCGTGTAGAACTCGCAGCCCGTGTTCGCGGACTCGACTCGACACCGTGCGCGCGCGTGTGTGGGTGTGTGAGCGTCTTCCCCGTCCCAGTGTGCGCGCGTGAGTGTGAGGGCCGCGACGCCTCCGACCGTGCTGGACCTCCTGCTATGTCGGCCATGGGGCGCGGGGCGCGAAGCCGGTCCCTGAGCCACCACGGCGTGCTCAGCCCCGCACCGACGCACGTCCTCGTCCGCAGGGGCACCTGGGCCAAGTCAGTACGGCAGTCATCCGCCCGCTCATCCGTTCATCCATCCTTGGCTTTTCATTGTGCACGAGTTCACGCGGCGCGCTGGCGCCGCAGACTGAGAGTCGTTTTCGGCGACATGTCTCTCTCGCACTCATGGAGCGCCCCGTATAGGTGCGAGAGAGACAGAGCGACGTAGACGACTCTCAGTGTGCTGCTGGCGCACATGCCACCCGGCAGCCGATCATCCCGGCCCGCAGTTTCATTACGGAATGCTAATCATGCCTCGCCTCGTAACGCCATTCGACATGTGCTGCAGCGGCTGGACGCGCCTGCCGGCCTACTGTACACTGTAATGACGAATGTGGGGCCTGGCAGACTGATTCCGAGAGCCGTTCTCGTCGCTCTGTCTCTCTCGCACTCATAGGGCGCCCCGCGTAGGTGCGAGAGAGACAGAGCGACGAGAACGACTCTAGGAATCAGTCTACAGCGTGGCGTGGCGTGCTGCACGTGTGGAGCGTCCGCCGCATGCAGTGCACCGCGCTGCACGCCGCGGCCTTGGCAGTGCCTTGCAGTGCAGTGGGCTCGCCGCGCGCCGCGCCCCAGCAGGTGGGCCCTGCCCGGGCCTGCCTGCCCAACGCGTCTATTTATTTCATTACTTTCTCCAAGGCCGCGGCACCCGGTGGCGGTAGCGTGTCCGCGTCGCCGCCCCGTCGCCGCCCCCGCGCCGCGGCACCTCTTTAGTGGCCGTTACCCGCGGCGGGGCGTCGCCGCGTCGCCGCCGGGACTCTGTAACAGGGTGCCGAGTTACTGGCGGCGTCCTGGTGGCGGTTATTGCCGCCCCGCCGCGGTTTGACGACGTCCTGGTCCTGGCGGACGGCCAGCCGCGGCTTCATCAGGCACGCCGCGCCGCGACGCGGAGGTGTGGCGCCCGCGGCGGCGGCCCGGCCGGCCCGGTGCCTCGCCTGCCCAAGGATCCGGCTGGCCAACGGAGCTTCCCCAGGACCCTCGAGCCGAAGACGTCGCCGGCAAGCCTTTGTTTTCGCGTCGTACTAAGTGCCTCGCGATGACGTCACGCGCCCCGCCGCCCCGAAGCACCCCTCTCCGTCCCCCGGCCAGCCGAGGAAAATAAAGCAGTGCCTGGCAACGCCCTGGGAGTGGGAGTGGGAGGCCGCGGGCCGCACCGCGCCGCGCCGCGATGTGGACGGAAGAACGGGACTGCCGTGTAAATAGACAGAAGGCCCTGCCGGCCGGCGGTCCGGTCCGCCTGGCGAGTGTCACTGTCCAGCCCGCCCCGCCCAGCCACTCCCGCCACGCGCCGCCCGCGCGGCCGGCTCTGCATTCCGTCGCGGAAACCAGAAACGCCGCGGGATTCCACCCGCGAGCTGAAATTGGAGGCCAGAAAGCACAACAACACGGCCGGCACGCCCTTGGCCCTGCCTGCCCTGCCTGCCCTGCTTGCCCTGGCCAGGCCGTGTGTGAGCAGGCTCGGGTTCTCCTTCACCTCCGCCGAGGACGGGATTCCGAATGCTCTGTCTCCCTCGCAGCCCTGCGGCACGCCCCACGAGTGCGAGAGAGACAGAGCGACGAAATCGCTGTTCGGCCGGGGAATGCCGCGTGGGTTTCGCCTTCGCCGGCCGATTAATCTCGCAAACGTTGTTGGAGAAACTCAATTTCTGGCGGGCGGGGCCGGGCGGGGCGTGCGGGGCGGGCCTTCACGTCGGGGACGTCCAACGCCGCCGGCTAGGGTCACGGACCCTTCCGTTCCGAGGGCGGGGCCCCGCTGTCCTTGTTGTGCCGGCGTGACGGGTCGCGTCGTCCTCACCCACTGGCCTCTTGTCGGTCGCCTCGAGCTTGACGTATCGATGAGTCGACGATTCGGCTGTCGGATGGGCTTCTCAGGGCCTCGCCGCGCCGCGCCACGACGGGACGGGACGCGTCGGCGGGTCGTTTCGCTCGGATTGCCTTGTTATTGTTTTGGGTTGACGACCGCGTCGAGGCCGAGAGGCCCTCGCTGGAGGTGAGCGCCAAGGTCAGACACCCTCTCCTCGTCCTGGGGAACAGGTTCCTTGCGGCTAGCGGCCGCCAGCCGGGTTGCCATCGGTGTGGGAACCCTGGCCACCCCTGACCCCTGCCGCCGCCTGCAGAGCCCCTGTCAACGGAGGCCTAGGCAACCGCAACTGCACCGGTGCGGCCCCCTCCCCTCCCCCTTCCCCCTGCCCGGAGAGGGCGCGCAGCTGCGCTGGGCCAGCCGGGCGATGCCTTCGCTCTGTCTCTCTCGCACTCACGGCGAGGGTGCAGGGCACGGCAGGGCAGGTGCGCTGGGATCGCTGGCATTTGGCAGGCTGGCGTGGGGGAATGGGATGGCAAGCGAGCTGGCTGCTGGCTGGCTGCTGGCTGGCTGCTGGCTGTCGGCACCCTCCCACAGCATCGCGCGGCGTCGCCATGGTAATGGTAATGGTGTACAGCCGTCTCTGACCCTCGCCTTGCTTGTGTGTTGCAGTGCCTCGGGTGCCAGCGCTGTCGCCATCGACAACAAGATCGAGCAGGCCATGGTGAGTGGAGCCGGGATGGCGCGGTCCGCCAGCCGGACACAAAGTACTGATTACACTCAAGTATCTTCATGAAACAGTAGTTTGGAAGAATACCGGGGTTGGACTGCTGCAGCCACTGTAAAAAATTCCGTACTTTTGTACGGAAATGGTACAGAAAAATATAGTACGGAGGTACGGAGAAAGGTACGGATCGTTCCGTACTTGCTCCATATGAACCCATGTAAATGGGCACGGAAAAAAGTACGGAACGTTCCGTAGTTGGCAAGTACGGACGGTCCAGGCAAATTATTGACCAGACATGTTCCGTACTTTTTCCGTACTTTTTTCTCACAGTGGCAGATCGAGCTGGGGGCTAGCCTCTCAATCGTCCTCGCGGGAGCTGTGTCTCACAATCTCTGTTTCCGCTGCGCAGGACCTCGTCAAGAGCCACCTCATGTTCGCCGTCCGCGAGGAGGTGGAGGTGCTCAAGGACAAGATCGCCGAGCTGATGGACCGCATCAACCAGCTGGAGCTGGAGAACTCGATCCTGAAGGCGCACGCCACGCAGGAGACGCTGGAGCAGCTGGTGGCGGGCAAGGCGGTGATGGACGTGCCGCCGGCCGCCGCGCCCGAGCAGCAGAACGGCATCGCCACGCCCTGAAGAGGCGGCCACCCCGCCCCGCCGCGCCCCGCCGCGCCCCGCCGCGCCCCACCACGCCCTGCCTCGCCGCGAGGGTCCGCCGCCCCTTTGCGCGGGGGCCGTCCGCGAGGGGCAGCGCGTGCCACCGCAAGCCGCCGCGGCCTTGGAGGCCTCGGGGCGCGGCGGGGCTGACGCCATCCTGGCCGCCATCCGGGACGCCATCCTGGACGCCGTGCTGGTGCAGCGCGGGGCGCCGCGACAAAACGACAACCCTCATTTCCTCCTTTGATTTATTTTCCGGCTCGGGCGGCCACCACGCCCTCCTGGCGGCTAGCTATTCTACCGCCAGGCCGCCGACGCTGACGCGGCTCAGGCCGCCCGTCGGGGCGCCCCTCGTGGGGCCCCGTCCCGCGACGTGACGGAGTAGTGGAAGCCACCGGCTTTGGTTCAAGCCGACTCCCTTTACTCCTGTCGTAAAAAAAAACAAGAAAAAAAAAAAAAAAAAAGGAACGCTTTTTCGGCGTTTGGTTTCTTTTTCTCTGTGTCTTATACGGTCGGAATCCGAGACGGTTCCCCGTTCTTTTTTGTACAATGCCGTGTGTGATTGTGATCCGATATTGTTTTCGGTTGTTGCGTTAGGTTGATGCTATGCTGGGAACGGGAAAACCTTGGTGGGTGTGATGTTATGATGCGTCAGAACGAAACACGTGGCGACAAATTCGCAAATTCGTGGAGAGTTGTGGGGCAAACCCTTTTTTCCTCATTTCTGTAGCTCTAGTCGTTACACATAAGACTGAACCCCTCAAAAAATAGTAATAAATCGAAAAAAAAGGTATGTAAATGCTATTTTATACCTAAACAAGCCCCATGTAAATCTAAAACACGATATAGGTGGAAAAAAGAGGAAAGCTATTTTTGATCAGGTGATCTCTCGCAGTTGATCGTTCTGAACTTCGGTAGCGCAGCGGCCGTCGCACATTCCGTTTGCTGTGATGTAGGCAAAGGCCGCGGGGGAAAGCAGAAGCAAAATAGCATCAACCAATTTGTTTTGCCACATTATTGCTGTTGTTTTGTTATAGGTCTTGTTTCGTTTTTCTCGCGCTTAATAATTGATAGACCTTTTTATTTTGGTTGTTTTAAGGGCGTCTGATTTATTTCAGTATTTTTACTCTTACGTTTTGCAACATTGTGCAAGCATTCAAAGTCATAATGGCTGTGTTAGTATGTAGCTAGGTTAAGTCCATATTCATTTTAAATATGTTTCTCGTTCTTACTCTTTATCATCGTTTCTTTCGATTTTTTTTCTGTTCAATCTGTTGTTTTTGTTGTTCGTTTCGCCCGACGATTTCAAATCGTCACAACGTAATCGTACCATCGCCACTCCTTCGCGAGGAGTGCGCTCATCCAAATTGTTGCCAAATGACCACCCAGGCGTCATTCAATTTTTATACTTGTCGGAGCCCGACCATGCAGTCGCTCCGTGGCCACGCCGTTCCAACACTCTCTGGAGAACTCGTTCTTCGTTGCCCGTTCGTGCGCCGCGTTTCCCACCCTGTGCCTGACCGCCCTCCTGGAGGCCCTCCTGGAGGTGCGAGTCAGTGTACACGACGAACGGCCACACCCACGCACACCGGGTGCGGTAGTCAACTTTTTCATTTTGTTCGACTACAAAGTAAAATTAAAAATATCGATTGGTTTTCTCGCTCATATTCGTAGTTCATATATCCTGACTTATTTAGGCATCGGCTTTTGCCGTGAAGCAATCGCGGTCAAGAAAACGAAAACACCATTTTTCCCTTTTTGTAGAGCGGCTCGCACGCTTCGTCGTAGCGCCACGTCCCCGCACCGCCGCGCGCTGCCCCCTGTAGGCTCATTCCGAGAGGCGCCGCGCTGTCTCTCTCACACCTATAGAGGCCTATGAGTGCGAGAGAGACGGCTTTCGGGATCGGTCTGCTTGACTGTGACGCCGGGACTCGCTTGGGTGCCCCGCCGGGCAGCGGGCAGCCCGCCCCCTCATGATGAGCAGGACGGCGACGCAGTCCCTGCTGCAGGGCATCTCTCTGCGCGTCGTCTCTGGCCGTCCTTAGCGCAGAGGAATTCTCCTACTTCCACCATTTTGCTCAATTGGGAAGCGTCGTTAAGACGGGCCACGCCATGAGGGGGGCTTCGCATTGCCTATTTGCACTTTGTACTGTACGAGGGCGGGAAAGTAGTTCTGTGAGGCCGGAAGCAAGTCACAGGGAGGCAGACGCTCGTCCGTCTCTGAGCCAGCGGGTCCACATGCGGTGCACCAAATTAAATTCGACTTTGACACTTTTCTAGGCAAGCCCCAACACTGACTGAGTAGGATATGGGCATTTTGCATTTTTTAAAGAAAGAACCGCAGGAGCCGCCCTCAGCTCGGACGAGGTCTGCCTTGTTTTGACGCCACACGATTCCTATTGTAAAGGAAGCTAGTATACGAAAACTGGTATTAGCCGCACTAAAAATATTTGTACTTTTACAAAGTTCCCGATGTCGTACGCCTCAACGAGAGTATTGAGCCCACGGTGTTGGAAACACCAGTGGGCGGAGAGAAAGTTGGTTCAATTCTTGTTTCTGCCGGAAAATGTTGGACTTAAGGACCCTATGCAAAAAGGTAATGGCGCCATTTTTGTACCTCCTGACATGTGATATTGCTGTGTATAGGTACCCACGCCGGGTACGTGATAAGAACACTAAAGAACGCTGAGAAACGGTTTAACGATTATTTAGATTTTAAGTTTCGAGTCATTAAAAATATTTCTTTTTGCATTGGGTCGCAAGTATGGCGTGGGTGTGTGTATTTGATAAATATGAATATTTATTGTTGATCGTAAATGGAAACTACCTTTTTGTTGTTTTTATCTCGTAGTTGCTTTCGGAAATTGTTTAGTGCTCGTTGTTGAAAAGGCAGCAGAATAGAGTAGAAGGTGAAATCTATCATGTGAGATTATTTTTCCTAGTTATGTATTTTGACGGATACAGAAAAAAAGAGTAAGCATGCTGTGAGATGTATTGTAAATATTACATAGTTATCTAATATTTATGAGAGGAAAGTATATTTGAAAATTATTTTTGTGTGACACAGGCAATGTATGTGTGATGGCAAAAATGGTCATACAACTTTCAAACAGGAAATGTTTTCTGCCCTACATTTAACTCTGTTTTAAATACTGTACATATTTATTTCGTAAAATGAGATTCCTCCTCTGTTAAAATGATATTAATAAATGATACCTACTTATTAAAACGTTTGTACCTCGTCGTCATTTCCCAGCGCCTCACAAACAGGCGTATCCCTCCACAAAAGCCGGGGGCTGGATTGGACTCGGAGGAGCCAGAGGAGCCAGAGGAAAATCGAGGAAGTTGGAACCACTCATGAGCTGCGCCGTGCGCCCGGGAGGCTGGCAGCCCGGCGCTCGGCCGGGGCGGATGGGATGCCCGCGAGCGCCTACACTGCCTACAGCGGCTTTCTCACTCTCTCACCCGCTGGCTCTCTGTGACGCAGACGGGACGCGCTGCTCGCCGACCGCGACCCGCCGCGAGACCTGTTTGCGTCTCCCGTCATTAATCCACACGCGGAGCAACGAAATTCAGAAAAACGCGTCTCTGCGCGTACACACCTTCGCGCACACCTACACGCTTACACGCCGCAAATTCAACCACACCAAGAAGATGCGTTCTACACAGTGAGCGAGCCGGTGGATGGTTCTGACCACGTCGCCGTGGTTCGCATGTAATCTCACCAATCACCGAGAGAGAGAAGCAAAACACGGCGGTCTTTAAGAGGCGCGCGCTGACGTCAACGTGATGGGAATCACCCACGGGTATCAAAGAGGGGGTCCGAGGCATGTGACGTCACGACCAGAAGACCGCCTGCACCGCTGGAGGCTGTGCGCCGTGCGCGGGCACTACACGCTGAATCCGACAGTCGCTCTGTCTCTCTCATTCATGGGGCGTTCCGTGGGGGAGCGAGAGGGACAGAGCGACCCGCGACCTGCCCGAACCGAAGCCCGGACGAGGAGGGCGGCGCAGGGCCGCGTGGAATAACACCCTCTCGGGTTGTTGATCCTGCCGTCCCGGCCATCCTGGCCCGGCACGCCCAAGGAGCCGCCAACCGGCCCAGGCGCCGAGGCGCCGAGGCAGCGAAGCAAGCGAGGCAGTGCCCGGAGCAGAACCCACGAACGGACAGAGAAGTTACAGTGGTTACAGTCCGATCGCAAATTTAGTGCGGGCCACTCGTTGCAAAAGTGTTTCAAGCATACGAAATTTACACTGAAATAACTCTACATGGCCTTAGAATATTTTTATCGACATGGGGGAGCTAGTATTGTCAGCTGTCAGCTGTGGCCTGGGGCCGATGTCCCCCTGGAGCCTGGCACGCACACACGCTGACGTCTTCTCTTCGTGTTCCTGGGCTCCCTGCCACCACGGCCCTGCCCGCCCCTTGGCCCGCCCGTCGCACTCCGGCAGCCTCTGCCTCTGGCTGCCTCTGCTGGCGGCCGGGCCCTGGCCGGGCCTCCGAGCGGCGAGGCACGGCGAGGCGAGGTTGGCGGCGACCCCGCCAGAGAGCGCCTCCGCCGCCGCGCCCCGCCTTCCCTCTCGCGTCTCGCGGCGCTCAAGCCTCGGCGACTCGCTCCGTCCGCTCGGCTCCGCGCTTCGCAAGCTTCGCACAACGCGGCGGTCCGACCAGGTCCGACTCGCCTTGTGTCTTCTCTTCTGTTTTCTTTGCAGCAGTCTCGCCCCGCCCGCATGTTCCGCCGGCATGCTGCGCGAGCCCGCGACCTGCGATTCGGCCGTGCAAGTGATAGAACGACTCTCGGCCGGCACGGACGGACCGGACGGACCGCGTAGCGCAGCGCAGCGCGAGCAGTGCACCTGACGTGGCCGACGACACCGAACAGGCCGCCAACGACAACATGACCGCCCTCGCTCGGGCCCTAGGTGAGCTCTGCGTTTTTGCTGCGACTCGCCGGCGACCAGAGTCCGGAGCGGTGTCGGTGCCGCACTCGGCCGCGAGAGCGCGCGCCGGAGACCTTGGCGGACAAAGGCGCGAGACGCGACCACCGCGACCACGACGCGGGGCATCGCCGTGGCCCAGGGCCAGGGCCCAGCCAGGCGCTCACTCATTCTGCACGTCACCCCGTCTCTCTCGCCCTCATACAAGACGCCGCGGGTGCGAGAGAGACTGTGCGGAATCAATCTGCAGCCGCTGCTGTGTTAAACGGCCCGTCAAACAGCGCTGGGCTGGGGCAGGGCGGCCAGGGGCGCGTCCAGTGTCCAGGCAGCGGAAAAGTACCCGGCGAGGGAAGTCGGCGTGGCGCGACTGCAGACTGAGTCCGAGAGTCCAATTGCAGTGCATTACCGGAAGGGTGCGCGGCGTGTTCGCGAGCAGCAGACTTTGGGCTTTCTGGACGACACCGCTTCGTGCATCGTGCACCGCTCTCGGCCAAGGCCGTGGCCTCGCCACTGGAGAAGGCCCGGAACAGGGCCCGGCCCGTCGCGTCCCACGCCGCCACACGCGCCGTTCACCGCCGACCTAGTCCGCGGCCGCGGAACCGCAGTCGGGTTTCCCAGTTTCCCGGGCCGGAGCGCCTGCGCGGTAGGCAACGCGCCGCCGCCACACACAGCCGCGCGCGGGTTGCCTGCCGCCAAGGCGCTTGGACGGTGTTGTCGCACACTGCTTCACAGTCTTGGCGCCGAATGTTGGTCCGGTCCAAGACGAAGACGGCCGCCAGTGTGATGAGAAGAGACCCCGGTGACCCTGTCCCCGAAGCGGCCGCGCTGCAGCGGTTTGTTTTTATCTGGCGCTGCGCTGAACGCGGTCGGGGAGTTTCCGCGTTGGCGATCCGCACGATAGCGTTATTGAATCCCCGATGACGGGGCGCGGGGCTCGGAGGCGCGCAGCGTGCCCCGCGCGGCCAAGCATTGGGAAGGCGCGGCCAGGCCCGGCCCGCAATTACCCCGAACCGGACTGGCGTGGCCGCCACGGCAGACGCGGCACTGCCATGGCTCTGCCGTCACTGCGGTGGCTCGACCGGTGATGCAAAAATAAAGCCACACTTTGCATGTCGTTGTTGATCCTGTTCCCAGGCCCGCTGCTGCTCCTCGTGGTGCTGGCGTGCGCCGCGCAGGCCGCCGACTACACCGCCCCGTCGTACGCCGGGGGGCCCTCCTACGCCGACGTGCTCTCGGGCAAGTACAAGCCGTCCGTCAGCCCCTACAGCGGCCAGCCTCAGCCTCAGGGCCCCGCCCCAGCACCGGGCCCCGCCCCAGGCCCCGCGGCTCACGCCCCCGGACACCATGCGCACCACCCAGCGCCCGCCGCCGCCCGCCCCGAGCACGCCGTCTCCGAGGCCGTCACGCACTTCTCGCTGGACGTCGCCAAGGTAAGACCACGGCGCGGTCCCTGAAGCACGGTGGGCCAGAGAACCGGCGCCGGCGGCCAAAACTCTAGACGCGTTTTGATGTCCATAGTCGCGAAACAGGACTCGAACCGGGCGTGTGACCCCGCCCCAATGGATTCTTCGTTCGGAGAGCAATTCGTTGATGGGGTCACACGTTCTGTTCAAGTGCCACTTAGCGACTCTGGAGCTCAAAACGCGTCCACCCGGTCCTTTGGCCTCCTTGCCGCCTGCGGAGGGATGTCGGACTCCACGTGGACGTTGTTGCAGGACGTGCTGGCGAGGGTCCCCGGCAACGCCGTGGTGTCGCCGATCGGCGTGGCCAACCTGCTGTCGCTGCTGCACCAGGGCGCCGACAGGCTCTCCGACACGAGCGCCCAGCTCGAGGACCGCCTCTACCTGGACAGGGAGACGTCGCGCCTGGGCGTGCCGCGCCTGCTGCAGAACGCCGTCACGGTGAGGGTGCCTCTGCCTGTCTCTTCGCAGCGGAGTGACTCGAACTCCCACTGACCCTTCCCCTTGGCCTTGGCCCCACAGAAGCGCAACGCCAAGTCCGTCCTGGAGAACGCCAACACGCTGTTCGTGAACGAGCAGTGGACGCTCAAGAAGCCGTTCCTGCAGCTGGCGCAGTACGACTACGGCATGAACGTCTCGTCGCTGGACTTCAAGCAGCCCGAGGCCGCCGTGGCCGCCATCAACAAGTGGGCGTCGGACGCCACGCACTCGCGCATCCCGTCGCTCGTGTCTCCGGGTACGTCTGTCGCGGACCGCTCGGCGCCGCCCTCGCGGGGTGAGTTCCTCTTGTCATTGAAACTGACTGTTTGTGGTTCCGTGCTGCAGGCGCCGTGACCCCGCGCACGTCCCTGGTGCTGGCCTCGGCCATGTACTTCCGCGGCGTGTGGAAGTACATGTTCGACGCGAGCAAGAACGTGCAGAAGACGTTCTCCACGTCGCCGAGCCGCAACGCCACCGTCTTCATGATGCAGCAGCTGGGCGACTTCCGCGTGGGCGAGCTGCCCGACCTGGAGGCGCAGTGGCTGGAGCTGCCCTTCGACGTGCGTGTGCTGCGTGTGCTGCGTGCTGCCGTGTCGTGCTGTTGCTGGCGGCGTGCTCAAGCCGAGGCTCAAGCCGGAACCCGGTTCACTGGTTGCAGGGTGACCACTTCTCGCTGGTGCTGGTGCTGCCCGACCGCCGCCACGGCCTCGGCGAGTTGCTGCAGCGCCTGACGCCCCGACACGTGGCCGCCATGCTGACGGACTCGCCCGCGCGGAGGACGCTCATCACGCTGCCGCGCTTCACCCTCAGCACCGACGCCTCCCTGGGCCGCACCCTCAAGACCGTAAGTTGAACAAACGCGCGCCACCCGGCTGGGATTCGAACCGCTGATCGGAAATTGTGTTTTGTCTCCGCAGCTGGGCATGAAAGCGCTGTTCGCCCGCGACGCCAAGCTGCGGGGCGTCTCCGACAACGCGCTGTCCGTGTCCGACGTGATCCACAAGGCCGAGATGAAGGTGGACGAGCAGGGCGCCACCGCCTCGGCCGCGTCCGGTAAGCCTGCACTGGGTTCAGCACGCCCGGCGTCGCTTGAGGAGAGAATGTAATGAACGTTCGTTGTCGACAGCCGTCCTGGTGAACACGCTGAGCCTCATCTCGTTCACGGAGGACATGAAGTTCTTCGCCGACCACCCGTTCCTGGCCCTCATCGTGGACCGCAACTCCAAGGTGCCGCTGTTCATCGGCCGCGTGGCCGAGCCCATCGAGGGCTTCTAGAGGACTCTGGCGCGGTGACCGGCCGCCGCGCCAGCTCGTCGTAAGTTTTAATTGTGTAAATCGGGGGCATCCGTACTTTGCTCATCGCCCATCACTCCCTGCAACGCGGAGACAACTCAACTGTGATTATTAAAACGCTAAATTAGTTTGATGATTGCTGCCTCACTTTACAAATGATTCGGCGGTGACTTCTAGAACTGATGTTTGTTTTGTAAATGAGGAATGGTGATTGACGCGCGTCATGTTGTCAGAAGTTTAATTTAAAGCCTTTTTCTCTTTTTTTGTACCTACAAAATGTGATATGAGTCGATGAAATAAATTAAGTCATGTGATGAACGTCTGTGCTCCTCTGCGTACGGCTGATTATTCCCCTCGGTCCCACTGCACTGCCAACTGGAAGCAGCAGCCACATTCCCAGGCCGGGAAAGCCGAATTGTCACTCCTCTGTGGTTAAGTGACGAGCATTCTCGCGGAGGCAACATCAGACCCGCTTCGCTCGACTAGCATAAAAGTTGGTACACCTGGCTTCCGAGTTTGCATCTTCTGCAGTAGTCTAGTAGGTGTCCGTGTCTGTGATTTTTTTTCCCGCTGCCAGTTGGTGCTTTCGCGCTGTTTTCCATTCTGGGCGGCAAGGTTAGGCCAGGCAAAGCCGGCAAAGCCGGCACGAGCCAAAGAGGCGCAGGAGGCGAAGACCGAAGACACGGCACTGTCGGCACAGCGAGAACCTGTTAGCCTCATTCACTCACGCGTCGCTGCTGTGCTGCTGTCCTGGCGATGACGCGTGCGAGCGCAACTTGTTGCACTGACTGTCTCTCTCGCACTCGCACGCCGGGCCGGTGGGCGGCTGGGCCGGGCGGCATGCCACCCCTTCCGCGGCGCGCGGCGCGCGGCGTCGATCCTGTGCCTGCTTGCCTGCTCCGCTGACAAGCCTGCAGCCCTCCGGCCCCGCGCTATCAATCAACGCGCTGCTGCCGGCGACGCGGCCTCGGTGGCGGTGGCGGTCGGCACTTGCGCGGGGGAGTGCACGGCGCCGGCCAGCAGGATGAGCTCGGCGTCGTGCACCACGTAGAACGCGAAGGGCCGGTTCAGCACGAGGCGCGGCGTCGGCTCCACCCGCGCCGACTCCCGGCGACTGCGGTGCGCGCGCTCGGCTGCAACAAGGGGGATGGCGTCAGCGACAAGGAGGAGGCGGTACACTGCACTGCCGCGCCCGGGCGGCAGGCAACCCATCCGGCGCGGCTGGCGTGCGCGAAGCGTGGCGCGCCCGGCGTCTGGCCTGGAGAAACCAAAAAGAAGGCAACCCCCGCGGCGTGGCGGCGTGCGTGTTGTCCTCTGACCCCGTTTTGTTTTGGTTGGTCGTTGACCGCCAAACTGGCCGCGCTGCCGCGCTGCGGACTCGGCGCTCGCGAGGCCGGCGCCGTGGTTCCCGCAGTGGCAGGAACGTCACACCAACTCACCGAGCCGCGCGCCCACCGAGCTAACGGAGTTGATGGCGACGAAGGACGTGGACACGAAGGCGTCCTGGGTGACGCTGCCCACGTGCTGCCGCATCCTGGGGTCGAGCACGGCGTTGATGCCCATGGCGCGGAGCGCGGGCCGCAGGTCCTTGCCGCGCGACACGGCGGCCAGCTGGGGCAGCAGCACCTCCATCTCGGTCGGGGCCAGCTTGTTGACGAGGCGGGGGATGCGCGCCGACAGCGCGGCCACGGTCTCGGACACGGCGGCAGCGCCCGTCGCCTCGGGGAGCACCAGCACCAGGCTGGTGCCTCGCGCCTGCAGGGCAAGAAGGGCACGGTGGAGTCTCCCCAGCATGGCTTGGGACTACTGGAGCTGCCTCGCGGCGAGCCTCACCTCCAGCGGCACCTCCACGACGTACGCCCCGCTGGCGTCCTTGCCGGCGCCGACGGCCACCCGGCCGAAGCGGAACACGCCCACCAGCGGCACCATGGGCACCGTCACGACGTCCTTGGGGCCGCGGGTGAAGGGCGCGGCGGCCTGGTGCGACAGCAGCACGTACACGGGCAGCAGGTGGAAGTCGCGCCAGTGCGACATGACCCCCGTGTCGGAGGACAGCGACAGCACCAGCGTGTCTGCGGGAGCAAGTTTTCTTGGATTTATCACAGTGGGGTGGACGCCAAGGGGGTGGTCATAAGACCTGCCTCGGTATTACGATTGGCAGCAAGCGTTCGAGATAAGTAGCACCATTGGGCTTCAAGGTCCCTCACTATCCGCGTCGCTGCTTACCGTTGGGTGCCAGGTCGTTGTCGGAGACGGCCTGCTCGGCCTGCTTCTCGGCCTCGGCAGACAGGGTGGCGAGGTAGTAGTCCTCGAGCAGGGCGCGGTACGCGTCGGGCAGGCGGCGCGAGCTGTGCAGCGTGGCCTCGGTGAAGGCGCCCGACACGTCCTCGTGGTCCGCCGTCGCCTGCCGCATGGAGAGAGGCCGTGAATGGAGACGTCGCCCACGTCGCGTTCTCAGAGTCCCCCGTGTCGTTACCTGGAAGCGGGCCAGCACGGCCCTGAAGCCGGTCCGCAGCAGCTCGGCGTGTGTCTCGTTGACGCCCAGGGCGGCGCGAAGCTCCGCCGCGGCCTGGCCCCTGGCGCCCTCCAGGACCATGCCCAGGTTGGTGGCCACGCCGAACGGAGCCAGCACCAGGTTCTCGCCGGGCACGGCCAGCTCCTGAGCACAGACAGGTGAATGAACTTTGTGAACGGAGGCGAGCCACAACAGCGTGACAAAAATTGAAGCCTGCTGACTGGGTACTCGCCTTGAACAGCACGGGCACCAAGTTGTTGCTGCTGTTGGTCACGAGCGCCACCGCGGTGCCGATCTCGGGGCCCTCGTTGTCGGCAGCCAGGGCGCGGTGCGCACCCAGAAGCAGCAGCAGCGGCAGCACCGCGACGACGCGGCGCGCTGCGACACCGGAACACAAACAATGCCGTCAGAGTGGTAGCGGGGCGCGGCAGGGCGGGGCGGGGCGAAGATTAATAAACTCATCTCATGCCGCGGCTTCACGGCTTTCTCTGTGCTCACGGGGCAGGACGCCTGTCGCCTTGCCTGTCGCCTGGCGCGGGAGCCAGGAGGTGTCATGGGCGTCGCGTGTCGTCGCGTGTCGTCGCGTGTCGGGCACACGCCGCCGCGCGGACGCAACGGCTGCGGGGCTGCGGGCGGTCACTGCCTCCCGTCCTCAGCCGCGTAAGATTTGACTCGCCCTCGCCCTTTCCTCGGCCTACCGGTCCGGTCCGCCCCAACCCCTGAATCACACGATGTGGAATGGAAACTTGAAAGCGGACGATACCCAAACGCTCCGGGTTATGAGGGGAGTTGCGGCATCTGCCGGCGTGCCTTGCGCTGCCGCTCTGCGCCGCTCTGCGCACTTGGCGCCTTCCCCGCTCTTCCGGCGAGCGGCGCGGCGGCAGGACACGGCAGGATGGCGAGCCCGGCCCTCCAAGCCCTTGGCGTCCTTCGCGGGGCCCCTCCGGTCCTTCCCTCTGCAGCTCAACGGCGTCGTGAACGCCGTGAACATGGAGGGCCGGCCGGCCAGCGCGGCGTCGGCTCCCCGTCGGCTCCCGACGCCGTGCATTCTGCAGCCCCGGCCAGCGCACCCGCGGCCCTGCCCCCCGTGCGCCTAGTGGGGCGTGGCGGGCGTGGCGGGGCGTGGCGTGGCGGGGCGGGGCGTGGCGGGGTGCGGAGGGGAAGAGTGACGCAATTACAAGAAACCGGTCGGTCCAGCCGCGAGCTCTACGACGGCGCGGCCCGAAGCGTGCGTGCTCTTGGGCTACTCTGTGCCGGTGTCGCTCGCACTACGCATGTGGCGTACGCACGTACGCACTCCGCGGTGGGTACGCCATAGCGCCACAGCACTCATGCATACGCCCAAAACGCATTCGGAACCGTCCCCACGTCGACGCGACGCGCGACGTCGGTGTCCTTGCGCGCGTCCTCTTTCTTCACGTCGCCGTCGTCGTCCGTACGGATTGTTTCATCACGGCATCCTCAAGCAGTGACACAGGGCGGTGCGAGGGTGGGGCAACACAGGGCAGCACAGCACGGCCGCCAGCCGCCCCTGACCCGCCCGCCTAGTGGGCCTAGTGACAGTGGGCCTAGTGGGCTTTCGCGAAGCTCCAATTAACCACACACAGCGTCACGAGCACACACAAACACGCGCTCGCCGTTTCCTTCAAGAACGAAACACAACGATTGTGGTAATCGCACAGAAACCTGTCCGTCAATTTCGCTACATGGTCCAAAAGTAACAACGAGGCGGCGCCGGGCGGCGCCAACTCATTGGCGGCCGTTTCCACAGCGGCGTGAACCACACTCACCCGAGGAGCTCGTCATGACGGGGGTCCTGCCGATCCTGCCGGGACAGCTGACGACCGCGCGGAGGCGTCGACCCAGACTACAGTCGGTCCGCTCCAAGCTGCCCAGCTCGTCCAGCGGCTGCGTCAGACTGCGCTAGGCTGCGCCGAGGGCTTCGCGGTTCAGCTTGAGCGGGAGGTGCCGTCCAGCTCGCCGCGTGGTCCCCGTGCTGCTGGTGCTGGTGCTCTGCCTGCTCCGCGTGGCGGCTCCTGCCTGCGGACTTATGATGCCAGTTTGACGGCTTGCCTCGCCTCGCGCCTCGCGCCGCCTTGCGCCTCGCGCCCCGCGCCGCCTCGCACCGCCTCGCGCCTCCTCCCTCCTCCAAATCCAAAGAGGTGATCAGTAGTAAGAGCCAGAAATGAAACAGAAAGTAAAATCATATAAAAGAGAATAAAACGTTACACAACTTTTCCGTCACTACTCCCTGCGCCGCCCACGGCAGGTGTCTGGCGGCGCGTCGCTACCCCGCGCCCCGCGCAGCTGTGGTGTCTCCCCTCCACTCCCCCACCCCTCGAGCCCCGTGTAAACGCCGACCAGACACCACTCCAGAGTCCTACTTCATGGTCTTCAGAGGAGAATAAAATGTCTAAAGAACCAGATCTTCTATTTACACAATTGAAGGATCACTTCGGTCACAATCAATTCAAGAGCAAGCTTCAAGAACAAGCAATACGTGCTATAGTGAAAAGTAGTTGCCTTTGTTTCTCTAACCTCTGCTACATGTTCCTTATTTAAGTTGACTTAGATTCTATGTGGTCGCCTGTCATCTTTATTTTACCATTCTATTTAACACTTCCAACACTCAATGTTGTTCTTTTACATCCCTTTCGGTCGCCATTTTTTGCAATACGTTTATTCTGGTGCTATTTTGTTTGGTTCAAGGAGTCATGACTCTTTGGCTCATACTGATCTGGTTTATTCTTTCTCAGGAAAAGGAGATGTATTCGTTTCAATGCCCACGGGATCGGGCAAGTCATTATGTTTTCAGCTTCCCGCTGTTGTATGCAAGGATAAAGTGGCCTTGGTATTTTCTCCCTTGCTGGCTTTAATGAAAGTAAGTTGCTTGTCCCAATTTTTGTGGAATCAGGATTCAAACTAACAGCAGGCATTTTAAGGCATTTTTTTCAACATTTCAGGATCAAATTGACCATTTGACAAAATTAAAAATTGTAGCAAACTCAATAAATTCCAAAATGTCAGGGGGAGATCGAAAGACTGTAGTTCAAGATTTGCGTAGCATCCGACCAGACACTCGCTTATTGTACATTACTCCAGAACAAGCCAGCACTGAATTCTTTCAGGTATGTGCAGAGAATTATTTTTCCTATTAAAGATGTTGACACAATGTTACCAAAGTTTCTTGTCTGCAGTCTCTTCTGCAAGATCTCCACCGTCAAAAGAAAGTTTCATATATAGTTGTAGATGAGGCACACTGTGTTAGCCAATGGGGACACGATTTTAGACCTGACTACTTAAAACTAGGGAGACTGCGGCAGGCTTACCCGGATATTCCCTGGATAGCATTGACAGCAACAGCAAGTAAACAGGTAAGTCAAGCTGTCATGTTTATCCTTTCATTAGCATAATTTTTGGCTGTAAATAATTTTTTTTATATTTGTGACTTTTACTATAGGTAGCTAAAGACATCATGAAGCAGCTGAGTTTGAGGCAGCCCGTGGAGACATTCAAAACGCCTTGCTTCCGGAAGAACCTGTTTTATGATGTTGTGTTTCAAGATAATATGCGGGATCCTTTCAGTCATCTTGCTGAATTCATCAAAGACACACTGAAACTAGAAGATACTTCTAAAAAGCCTGTAAGTATTTCTTCATCTTTTTTATTGTCATCTATTCTTGTACCATTTTCATGCAATTTCATTTGCAGAGTGAGCGAGATTCTGGTATAATTTACTGCAGAACAAGAGAGATGACTGATTCTGTGGCAAAATCCCTTATTGCTAAAGGAATACCGGCTGCTGCATATCATGCTGGTTTGAATGACCGAGACCGAGTGCAAGTTCAAGAGGATTGGATGAAAGGAATTTTTCCAGTTATTAGTGCCACTGTCAGTTTTGGAATGGGGGTTGACAAAGGCTCTGTGAGGTGGGTAGCAGTCACAACAGCATTGCATGTGTGATTCCAATCAAAAAGTCACTGATTGTGTCTTTTCATTTAGGTTGGTTGCCCATTGGGGTGTCCCTCAGAGCATAGCTGGGTACTATCAAGAATCTGGTCGAGCTGGAAGAGATGGCAAAATGTCTCGATGTCGTATCTACTATTCCAAGCAGGAAAGGAATGCTGTTGATTTCTTGCTTCGTAAAGATGTTAGTCATGCTAAGACTGAGGGCAAAAAAGAAAAAGCTAAAGTTTCCTATCAGAGCTTCGAAAAAGTTGTTAATTATTGTCAGGAAGCCAAGTAAGTTATCATTTCATGACACTTGGTCTTGCCTATTTTTTAAAAAAAAAGTTTGGCCTTTTTCCCTCAAGAACAAATTTTAATCAATCTGTTTGTTACCCATCAGGTGCCGCCACTCTGTATTTGCAGAGTACTTCAATGATGATCCCCCCTCCTGCAAGATGTTGAAAGTTTGTGATGTGTGTCAGGACAAAAATGCTGTCGAGAAACAGATTGAAGAATTTATATCTCATTTAGGATCTAAGCTTACATTTTCTGTGACGGGTGATTCTTCTGATCTCTATGGAGGTGGAAAACTTGGTGGGAAAAGGTAGAAGAAGCTCATTAAGTACCATACTGGTTTCGTTAACCTCATACATCCATTAAAATTGTGATTTACTTTGTGATTGCAGTGATTATTATAACGATGACAGTGGTGGTGAAGGGGATGCTGCTCGACAGAGAGATCAAGAAAAGAAAGTTTTGAATTCTTTGATTCAAAAGCAATTTGCTCTGCGGCGTTCAGGTCAAGGGCCTCAACCAACTGAAGAGGATTTCGCTGCTTTAGCCAAAAGTTCTCGTGTGCTGTCTGCTGACAGTACAGGAAGAAAGATAAATGGCCTTACTGTGCCTGTTAGTTGATAACATTTCTAGTTACAGTTTATTTTTACAATTTTAAATATTATAATTTATGATCTTGTTTTATGATTTTCTTTTAAGGTAAGAGAGAGTTACATGTCTCTCATTGAGGGAGAGCTCACCAAAAACCTCAACAAATGTGGAGACATAGATCCCCCTAGTAGAAGCTTAAGTAAGGATGATGTTGAAATGTGTGCAAGGCAGATAGAATACCAGGCATTTACTACCAATAAAATAGTAAGCCTGTACAAAAGAGCCATTGTGAAAGAGGTTGGTAATTGCACTCCATTTGTTACCCTTTGCATGTTAACTTTTCTTCTAATTATCTGATCTCTGCTTTAATATTTTTAATTAACTTTCAATCTCTCAAATTTAGATATCCTCCATAAAGAAGAGTTCAGAACTAATGAAAGTCCATGAACATTTACATAACTTCACTCCAGATACTAATATTGTGAAGAATTCAAATGTGACTGGCTCTCTTTCTCATTTAGCCAAAGAAATTCAAGACACTATTGAGGCACAAAAGAAAAGTGGAGGCTTTGTCACTGCATCCCAGCTCATCACCCAGTTTGAAAACGGCCCAGAAAGTTCAGCAGAAAAGTCATCCACTGAAAAGCCTTCATCTATCAAACCGAAATTCAAGAAATTTTCATTGAAAAAAGATCCTCTTCATCAGACATCAGTAGATTCATTTTTCACAAGGAAGCCTCCCGGCCCAGATACTATCAGTTCGTCTGAAAGTGATGACGATAATGATAAGGGTCTTGAAATAGAATCAGATCGGTCTGTGATGGAGGATTCTGAATGTAACCTTGAAGAGAATTCAGAATCCTTTAATGTAGATAGTGATAGAAGAATAATTGATGATGAGTCCCCCAACTCATCACAATCAGAATTTAAGGCAAATGAAAGCAGCAATGACAGCAACAAGTTAAAACATGAGTTTAAGGGAGCTTTAGTAATTGATGAATCTGAATCATGTGATGCAGAAGGTTTGTTAGAAAGTGGCTTGTATAACAGTAACCATACCTCCACAACAGCATCTGGTGGTTGTAAAGACCTATTAGCTAAAAAACGTGTTTCCCACTTAAGTAAGGAGGAATTTAAAAGTGAATCTCCTAAAGTGGCTTGCTCTCTCTTAGACTTGTGGGAACAACAGAAACTCAATTCTGACAAAAAACAACCTGAACAGTCAATAGTTGAACACTATGAAGAGCAAAATCCAACTGCCAAGGACAAAAAAAGGAAACTCACAGTGTTATTTGGAGATAGTGATGAAGATGAAGAAAATGGAGAAATTCATAAAGTGAGTAAACAGGACTTTAATCAAAAGAAAGATCAGAACGCTAAGAAAACTGTAGTCAAAAGTAAAAAACCATCTGCAAGTGATATGGAGTTGAAGCGTATGGCAGAGTTAGTTGTGCGATTACTGATGCCCTACTACAAAAAGAAGAAAATATCTTCAAGGGACTTATTTAAGGCTCTTGCTCGTGCCTTATCTCAGCATGCTTCCAAGTTAACTAAGAGCAGTGGTAAGTATAGACAGATCTCTTTTCTTAAAGATTTGCTCTTATTTCTCCAAAGTGTTATCATTGAATTGTTGCTTTTACAGATGAAAGTGGTGTGCAAAAAATAATCGGACATTTTTTTCACAAGAGGAAACATGTCAGCAATGAAGCAGACTTTGCAAACCTGTGATTTTTTCTGTTCTGACTGAAATTCTTTGCCTAAACCAATATCTTCTCCCAGTGAATCAAAAGAGAAACTTCTTTTCCTATTAATGTCGAAGCCAGTGATTTATTTTAGACTTTATTTGTTACATATTATAGGACAAATTTTAAACAGAAAAAAAAAAAAACAACTTAGCAAAAGAGGATCTGCTATGTTTTTGGCCTTGTTTGTTTTTGAAAGAGAATGTGAGCTGCACACACATTTCTATTTCAGTTTAGAGTTTAATGCTTCTGAAATCTTGAGCCATTTTCTCTCTAAACCAAATTAACTTTGGTTGCTATTAAAACTTGTCATGCTCTATGTACTTGTGATAAAGTAATTATTATAGCATGTTGAAGAGTCATACTTCATATTTGAATGCACTGTATTTATTTGAACATAAAGAAGTACACCTTCTCCAGATTTTGCTTGGGTTGTGTCTTTGTGTGATTCTGCTGTCATAAATAGGACTTTCTTTATAAATTGGGGAACTTAAAGATGCGGGTGCTACTTATGTTCTATTAAATGGAATAAATATTTGAAGCAAGCAGTAGGGAGGGCAAGAGAGGCGAATTTATGGTCAAGTTTTGCATTTAAATAGTTTTCAAAAACTTTGGCTGGTATGTTACAAAACGCTGTTGCTATATTTTTATGTCTGAGAACTTTAACTTAATCAACAATTACTTGCAAGTGCCTTGTTTTTATCACCAACTACCACATCAGTCTGAATGTAAGCTCCATCCCCACCACCCTCATTTGGGGTCTCTAAATGTTGGGGATTGGGCTTAAATTCAGAACACTACAGTAGAAATAAAAATATGGACATTGTTCTATTCTATTACAGAATAAATACCTAATTTTAAAAATAAAATCATCTTTAAAGTATTCATAGAATACAAAAATATTGGTAATTGTCTTATTTTTTTTATTTTACCCTTAGATCAACACCAAGAGCTTCAACGGCTTTACACCCAATCTCATTATGCACTTTGTTCACCTCATTCTTTGTCAGGGTGCGCTCCATGTGCCTGTAAGTAATGCGATAGCAGTGGCTCTTCATCATTTTCTTGGGGTGTAGAAATTGATCAACAAGTGATACCTGTTGAAAGCATTAATAGTTACTCTTTGGACAAGCAAACCAAATTCAGGATATAGACCCCCTCCTTCCCCATATCCCAAAAATAATGCAGTTAATGAAAGTACAAATTTATCTAGTCTCACCTCTTCTATCATGTCTCCACCTACAGATCGCACAATATCAAAGAAGTCATTTGAATTAAATTCACCCTCAGGTGGAATCCAGAAGCTGATATCATTGACGCAAATGGGATACACACTAACAGGCTGTTCAAGAACACAAGGCAGTTATTATTATGAGTTTGTGAGAATGCCTAAAAGGCTCTTATAATAGAAGTAAATTTAAATTTTTTTAAAGTTACTTTTAGTTATACCTGGTACTTAATGGGAGTGTGAGGGTCATCAACAGTAAACTGTTTTGTGAAAGAAGGATCAGTGCTCCAAAATAGTCGAATATCTGGTATATCATACACTCGCATAGCAACTCTCTCCAATCCAAGGCCAAATGCCCAACCAATTCTGTCTCCTGCACCAGCTGTCAATTTTATACAATTTTGTTTGAAACCAAAAATTAAAAAGTGCACAATTTGTGAATAAGGTCATGCAGCAGTTGTACCTTTGGCAACTATTTGATGTTCCATAATGCCACAACCAAGCAGTTCAAGCCACTCTCCATTATGCTTGATTTCTAATTCCCAGGACGGATGAGTAAATGGGAAATAAGCTTCAACCCAGCGATATTCAACATCTAGAAAACATTAGTAAATCGCAAAATAAATCCGAGTAAAGTGGATGAAGTTTATATCACATACTAAATAATTGGGAGGTGAACCACCTTGACCAAAGAGAGCTTTTGCTAGGTCCTGAAGAGTTGTTTTCAATTGATAAGAAAGTATTCTCACAGCATCTACGGTGTGCTCTGCCTGTTTGTCATCCGTTCTCCTATCTGGCTTCTTTTCAAAGACATTCAATCCATATTCTTCTGGAAACAACTGTAAAAATAAAATAGATCTTTAAAAGTAGGTAAAAGCTTGGAAATCAGGCCACCTAAAATTGAGTACCTCATGTTGAGTCTGAAGTCGAACAGCATCACATTGATGGAACACAGGATAGTGAGTAGAATCGACTGTATCACGGCGGTAAACATCACCCACAATCAGAAAGTTATCAAGTCCCGATGCAATTAGATCAGACTGATGAGCTGTGGTATGAGCACGCAACATGTAGTTTGAATTGAGATAGTATGAGTCACTTTTCCTGAAAAATCAAAACAGCAAAAAACTTAACTTTGGGTTCATATTTTTTGGGCGCTCTCTGAAGCATTTAAGTATGATATCATCAATTGGACAGCTACATAAATTAGGATTTGGATTTCAAAAACTTACAGACGGCTAGAATGATTATGTGGCACAAGCAAAGAGTCAAAATTTTGATGAGTTGTGACAATTGGGTCTAGGTTGTCATACACTGAAAATACTGGGTTGCCAGTGCGCCCAATATACTTTTTATAAAAGTAACTAACTATGCGTTCTTTGATCAGATAAATAGGATGACATTTTTGTTGATGAAGTTTTCTTGACATCTGCTTAATTATGGTAGGAGTAATGTTGGTGTATGAGTCCTAAGAAAAGGCAATTAATATTACAGAACAAAATATACATAAAAAATAAAAGGAAATATTAAGATATGCTACGTACTTTTTCAAATTGTTTGCCAGAGACAGTGAGGGTAGCGACAGGAGACGTTTTCGGTGGCAAAGCAGGCGTTGTTGATTTCAATGGGGCATCAGAGTTCGCAGAACTAGACATTGAGCACACCAATGCTTTCACAGCAGAACAAGTTGGATTTTGAACGCATAATGGGCGTAGTATGATGTTTTTCATCTGAAAAATAGAAACAACTAACTACTGTACAATGCTACAGACACTTATATAATATATCAGAGCCTGCAAGCTACAGGGACAGAGTAAAATTAATTAAACACACAAGAGGCCATTTTGAAGGTCACATGAGATCATTAAATGTACAATTATGATTTTGTAAAAAAAAAATTGACACTCTATCTTAACCTTTAACAGGTATTATGGAGGATAAAACCTATGCATATGGAAATGTGAAGCTTGACAACTGCAATAATAGCAACATTACAGTAAAAGGAAACAGTTTTTCTCGAAAACAGTAGACCGCACAAAATTATTTACCTTGAACGAGACGATTTTGGCCATGGAGCATAAAGAATCAGTGATGAAGTGACGTTAGAGTCCTATAATTTGGGGGAGTACATGACTCTATTGATATCGTTCCGTTCGCCCGAATTTCTCATTTTCTGCTAGTGGCTTGACAAGTTGTACCAACAGCAAAACAAAGTGCGCCAAAAGGAGGCGTGAGGCGTTTTTGGGTGTGTATTGACGCTCCACTTATGCCAAGATATCTTTATCTACCTTGTGTTTTATCTGTAGCTCCTGAAAGAATTTTATTTTCCTCAATTACAACATTGTCTCCGTCTCATATTGTAAAAGTTCGTTACGTTTTGCTTGGCCTGCTTACTACTGCTTATTTGTACTTCAAGGTGTGTAATGTTATTAGCATACCAGTTCGATAAGGAGATACTTCAGGTATTTTCACAGTCGGTAACGAAATTCTCTCAAATTTCACTTTTTCCTGTTGAATATTTTAAAGGTTTATAAGTAGTGGTTATCGTGGGTTCCTTTAAAATGAAACAGCGGTGACGACGTTTGAAGGTTATGTGTTTGGTATGTAGGTGATGTATATTAACCTATTTTATTTTGCGACTAAACCTCAACTTTTCACCAACACATCATTTTTTACGACATCAGATGTATTTTACTTGTGGCTTCAATCGTTTTATTCTTCTGAAAATACTATCTATCAATGAACCAGTTTGTTTACAGTTGAACCCTTCACTCACAATGTCACTGTTGAATTTATACCATTGTTTTAAATATTTGTTACCAATGTACAGTTTTTGATTCGTACCAGTGGAAGTACCTGCCTGTTATTGATGTCAGTCTCAAGATGTACCCTATGAGTTTTGGTTGTATTGTTTTGAATCATTGACACCTGTTGCTACTTGGCCCACCCACAATTTAAGTTTTGGATGTGACAAATCTGTCTCTTACCCTGTAGACCCAAATTTTACCTGTTTAAGCTGTTTTCACTTTTTACTTTATTTGTAACTCATAAGGAGTTTTCCCTTCCCACTTCAAAATTAAGTTTGTGCTTGTCAGCTGACTTCTAAATAAGAGGTAGCCTTGACAGTGTTAACAATTCACATTGTATTGCCATGTATTGATTTCAATTGTTTGCGTTTGTTCATAGTATATTGTCCATATCATGAATTACGCTGTGAGAACCAGACGAAGATAAATATACAACCATGTCGTCCAGGCAAGATAGAGCCAAATCAAGTGGCTTTGTAAGTATCAATTTGAATATATTGAATATGTTTCATTTACAGAATAGCCTTGATAATGTCTTGATTTTTTGAAACCAGCTTCACTAGTTTTATTGAAAAGTAGCTTGTAATGGGACTCTCCATTTCTTATCTTGTAGTTTAGTGGTGGCATAGAATAAGAGCAAAATTTCCATTTGTTCTTTTTTCTGTAAATAGTCAATGGTCTGATGTGTTTTTATTTGACATAGTATCAACGTAGATTTCGTGCCCACAAACCTACCACATGCAGTGGACTCTGGTAATTTCGTGTGGGTTCCCCCTCCCCCTTTCCACCCTCCTCCTCTTTTTCTTTGCACTGAGTGACTAACATGCACGTTTTGGCGCGGGCCGGGATGAGCCCGGCATGGCATGTGGGACTGTGGGTTGGGCCGAGACGCCGAGACCGGGTCCAGATGGGACCGGGCAGGGGCCGCGGGGCCGCGGAGCGGTGGGTGGTGACGTCACCGCTCAGTTTATGGGAGACCGCGAACCACTTGCTTAGCGTTTGGGACCGACTGGACGGGACGGGGTCACGGTGGCCATGTGGCTGGCCTGTCCCGGCCGCCCGGGTAGTGTTCCCGCTTTGATTCCGAACGCCGCACTCATTCAGGCAAAATTAAAGACGGAAACACAATGCTTGGTCGGGCCGGGCTGAAGGTTGAAAGAGGAGAGTGGCCTAGTTAATTGGGTATTTACTAAAGCTGCAGACCCAACTTCCCTCGCGAGAGCCCGGCCCTCTGCAGATTGGGGCTCGGACACCGTGACGAGGTGATTTGCATATTTCCACCAGTCCCCGTTGACTTGCTGCCCTGTAGGCTGCAGGGGCATATCTCACTGCCCGGCTCGACTCCCCTTCATTTAGGGCTCTAACTAACGACGCATTGTGCGGGCGAAGCGGCGAAGCGGCGCCATGGTGGCGCGCCTCTCGGGCACGGTCCGGCAGGTGCATTCCCCGTGGCGGGCTGCAGCGTTATGCGGGCTTCAGTATCAGTCTATAAAGAGAGCACTAAAAAAAAAGTTGTAAAAAATTCTTCTAAAAGTTGATCTGAAAAAAAAAAAATAATTTCATAAATTTTAATACTTAATCTGGTATTTGTTAAATGCATTGGCAGCTGGAGATGTTCTTCGCCAGGCCACGGACGAAGGGGCGTGGGCCGTCGGGACAACAGCCGAGGCCCCCGTCAGAAACCTACTTCAACGAAGCTGAAGAACAAGAATTCTTCATCTCTGGTCTTGACGAAGAGACCACAAATGACAAGTTCGAGGAGATGTTGGTATGTTTGGTCTAGTGTGGCTGAGCTGGAATGTTTCATGTCCTTTACTTAGATATTTTTGGCGCTCATTTCATTATTATTTCAGGATGACATGAACTTGACAGAGGAAAAAAAGATGCCTCTTCGAATGCAACCCACCGAGAACAAGAAAAAAATGTTGATTAATCATTACAAAGGAGTGACACAGGTAATAGAAAAAAATCGCTCAAACACACTCAATTTCACTTGCTTGAATCAAAAAAATTTATATCCTTGTTTTTCTTTTTTCCAGGAAAGCAGAAACCGTCTGGACAAACCAGCTGATTATATCAATTATCTCAGTACAGCAGATTTGAGTGCAAATAAATTATATGGTTGTATTGAATCGCTTAGAATTGCACTCACAAATAACCCTCTAAAATGGGTTGAAGAATTTGGCACAAAAGGCTTAAAGAAGGTTTTAAATGTCCTCAATGAATGCTATTTAAAGTATGTAGGCACTGCTGGTTTTTTAATTATTATTTAAATATTCTTGTTCAATATCTATTTTTCCAGTTATTAATTTAAAAAATCTTGGTTCACAGTGACAGCCGTTTTGACAAGATACAGTATGAATGCATAAGATGTCTGCGGGCCTTCATGAACAACACTACTGGTATCAGGCAAACATTTTCACAACGGGAGGCTTTGACAATTTTGGCTCGGTCGGTTGATCCCTCAAAGCCCTATGCTATGCTGGAGGCGGTAAAATTGCTGGCTGCAGTTTGTCTTATTCCACCCATCAGTGGTTCTGGGAAGGATGGTCATGAGAAAGCCTTAGAAGCTATTACAATGAGTGGAGAGCTCAAAGGAAGAGAACGATTTGAACCTATTGTTCAAGGCCTCCTAATTAAGGAAAATGAAAAGACACTAAGGGTAAGACAGCTAACCAATACTTTTGTATTTTTCTTCCTTTTTTTTCACTAAATGTAGCCTATTGATTTTTGTGAATAACTGTGCTTTCCTTTGTTTCTAGGTTGCCTGTCTGCAGTTAATTAATGCCATAATCACCCAGCCTGATGATCTAGAGTACCGTTTACATCTTAGGAATGAATTCATGAGAGTGGGCCTTCTTGACGTCATTGAGGTAAAATAACAGAACTGTCTTTCCATTGACCTTATAACATCTTTATGTCTTACGTTTGCAAATTTTTTTCTATTTTTCACTAACTTTTAATTTTGTTTGTAGAACCTAGAGGAAGATGCAAATGAGGACCTATTAACACAGCTTAAGATTTTTAAAGAACATAAGGACGAAGACTTTGAAGAGTTTATTCAACGATTTGACAATGTTCGTCTAGAACTAGATGATGTCAATGATTGTTTTGAAATGGTTAAAAATCTGGTAATGGATACAGCTGCTGAACCTTACTTCTTATCAATACTGCAGCATTTTCTCTTCATACGTGATGATGCTCAGATAAGGTCAGACTTATTCTATTTTCTGATGTGCTCTTCTTGTTGTGCTGGTCTTCTAGTGTTATCATTATAAAATTCTTGTCTTGTCTTTCAGACCTGCATACTTCAAATTACTTGAAGAATGTGTTTCACAAATTGTATTACACAGAGGTGGATGTGATCCTGACTTTAGATCAACAAGACGATTTCAAATTGATGTCCAGCCTCTCATTGATACTCTTGTTGGTAAGTCATCTTTAGATAATTTCCAGATCCGTTAAACTCAGATGGTGGTTATTCATATAACTTTTTCTTTGTTATTTACAGAGAAATCAAAGGTAGATGATGAGAGAAGGATAGAGGAGCTGCAAATGAAACTAGAAGAAGCACTTGCCCTCCGTCAAGAAACAGAAGCCAAATTACAACAAACTGAGAAAAAGTTATCAGAATTGGAGTCTCGTGTCGGATCAGCAGCATCGCCAGGCAAGGTAACTGCAACGATTAGCATTGTTGTTTTGTCAAAATTTCTGTTTATCTTATGGTTGAATCATGATTATATTTTTTCCCGCTAAGCTGGGCAACGTTCCTGCGCCGCCGCCTCCTCCGGCTATGTATTGCCCTCCACCACCGCCCATGCCCGGCGGGCCCGGCGGCGGAGTAGCGCCTCCGCCCCCACCGCCACCCCCCGGGTCCGGGTTCGGTCCACCACCTCCACCGATGCCTGGCTGCGGGCCCCCGCCCCCGCCCATGCCTCCAGGCATGGGGCCGCCCCCGCCTCCCTTCCCCGGGGGCATGCCCATGCCGCCCATGTTCCCTGGGGCTCCTGCCGCCCCCAAACCTCCGGATGTCCTTCCCCTTGGCCTCAAACCAAAGAAGAAGTGGGACACTGACGGGCCCCTCAAGAGAGCCAACTGGAAGGCTGTATGTAGCATGTCTTGTCTTCTGATTCACAACGTTATTGTTGTGGGCATGGTCTTATCGTTGTGAACTCTTTTTCTTTTGTAGATTGTTCCTCAGAAGTTGTCTGAGAAATCTTTCTGGGTGAAGGTTCATGAAGAGAAACATGCATCGCCTGACATTCTCAATGGTTTAGCCCAGAGATTTTCATCCAAACCTGTTGCTAAGAAGATTGATGCAGGAGACAATGGAGTGAAGTAAGAATCCAATCTTTACCAATAAATAAATTATTAATACCTAAAACCTATATTTAACCCACCCTTAAATTTTGGTTTTCAGGACAGGAACTCTTAAAAAAGTGAAAGACCTAAAGGTTCTTGATGGGAAAGCAGCGCAGAATATATCTATCCTGTTAGGAGGGTCTTTGAAGCATCTGAGTTACAGTGATGTGAAGCGTTGTATACTACGCTGTGATGATTCAGTTCTAACAGACAATGTGTTGCAGCAGCTGATTAATTATCTCCCATCTCCCGATCAGCTGCACAAATTAGAAGAATACAGAAGCCAATATGATGATTTGACAGAGGCCGAACAGTTTGCTATTACAGTTAGTGTCTTTTATTATTATTTTAGTTTTTCTACCACCAATGTTTGCTGTTTTTATTTGATAAATTTGAATGTTTGCACATTTTTTAGCTTGCTGAAATAAAGAGACTTCTTCCTCGTTTGAAATCTATGAGCTTCAGGCAGCATTATAATGAAATTGTTGCAGATGTCAAACCTGTAAGTACCATCAATTCTCTGAAGCCCAGTTTTTGGGAGGTCAAATGTCAATTACATTCTTGATGTTTCTTCTTTTAGGACATTGTAGCAGGCACTACAGCCTGTGAAGAAGTAAGAAATAGCAAAAAGTTTGCTGAAATTTTGGAACTGATTCTCCTCCTTGGTAATGTCATGAACAGCGGATCAAGGAATGGTCAGGCATTTGGTTTTGAGATTAGTTTCCTGCCAAAGGTGATTGAAATGCAAACAGATGCTGTAGTTTTGAATGACAAATTTTTGCATACTTGGATAACATTTCATTTTTTTCCTTTTCTTAGTTGACAAGTACAAAAGATGTGGAAAACAAAACTACATTGCTCCATTATCTTGTGGAGACAATTGAACGAAAGTCACCAGAATTATTAACATTTGAGGATGAGCTTCGCCATGTGGATCGAGCTGCCCGTGTTGCTGTGGATAGTATACAAAAAGCTTTGCGACAAATGGATTCTAGTGTTCGCAATCTGGAGACTGATTTAAACAATTGCAAAGTGCCTCAGGGTGAAGATGACAAATTTGTCCAAGTTATGAGTGTATCCTTTCCATGTATTTTTTAAATTCTTATTTTGTTCAATATTTAAATCGTAAGTTCAGAAGCTACTTTGTTTTCCTTAATAATTGATACAGTCTTTTGCTAAAGAGGCCCGAGAACAATGTGAAATACTGCAGAGTATGTTCCGGAAAATGGATTTGTTGTACACGGATTTGTCAGAATTTTTCTCCTTTGACAAACTTAAATACACATTGGAAGAATTTTTCAGTGACGTGAAAACATTCAAAGATGCATTTTATGTAAGTGTTTTGTTAAGTACCAATGCCATACAATTTTAAACCCTTCTCCAGAGAAGACTAATGTTTTTCAACTTGTCTGTGCAGCAAGCCTTAAAAGATAACCAGAAAGTGAGGGAGACTGAGGAGAAGAGTAGAAGAGCACGTGAAGCACGAGAAAAAGCAGAAGTGGAGCGGGCAGACAGGGTTGCTCGGAAACGAGCGCTTGTAGATATGAACACACCCCAGACGCAGGAAGGAGTAATGGACTCACTATTGGAAGCTTTGCAGTCTGGTTCAGCATTTAGTAGAGATCAACGAAGAAGGAGGCCGGGGCAGAGGCCTGCTGGAGGTGAGTTACTCCCTGTGCTGTGTATGTTCTTCTCTCTTTCAGAATGCTTCACCCTTCTCTTGTGTTCTTATTTTGCAGCTGAACGGAGAGCACAGCTGAATAGAAGCCGTTCAAGATCAGGGCTTGTTGGGGGAGCGCTAACGAGTAGAGAATTATCGAGGTGAGACACGTGTGTCACAACTAGTGGTAGGCTGTGATGTCTTCTGTGATTCCTATTTTGCTAAAACTTTAATTGTATCTTGTTTCAGTGAACTCCTGAGCACCGCATAGCAGTGTGGTCAAGCCCATGGCAAACTAGCCATTTGATTCTCCTGTGATTTTTTTAATAATAGTGTCAAGATCTTGGCGTGATCACATTGCTCAATACGCATTTTATAAGTACAATGAATCCTTCCCCCAGTATTACTGGTTTTAGCTAAGAATGTAGGCATCAAACTGGTTGTTTGTAGCATTACAGAAATTATTTTAAATTGCCCTTTTTAAAAATTCCATGTTTGCCTTGAAGGTTAATTAACCTAATAATTCTACAATGTTGAGTCATATCTCCACCAAAGTGCCAGCGTCAGGCTGTTAAATATGTTTAAATCCTACACAGATTTGCATAGTCATAAAAATTATTGTATTCAGGACGGAGAGACTTCAGTCTTTGGTACTTGTAGAACACTCTAGACTGATACATAGCCAACCCATTCTAAGACTTGTAGTAATTTATTAATGTTGAAATTTTTAAAGATCTATCATTGTAACATGCTTATGGCTGAGCTCATAAGTCTGTTATGGTATATTTTTAGAAAAGTTTATGACAGGTATGGAAAACAACTTTAAGTTTGGAAGTTTACTTTTAAGAAAGAAGTGTGACTTCCCATGTCTAAGTAACAAAGGGAGTCAATCTGTACTGAACTTTAGTTGTTTTTATATTCACCTGGATCAAAACAAATTTATTTCCTAACAAATTGCAGATACCTATTATGAATCCTTTAAACCGTCTGAATGAGCTGCTGTGATTATGTTAAGATGTAGGTTGTTTTAACAGTGCAATTTTTGTTGTCATTCATACATCAGGCTACTTTCCTACAGTGGTCTCGGGACCAGGTTAATCTCTTGTAATCATGGTTTCTGAAATTTTACAACGAATTTTGATAATATTCTATGCATTGACTGTTTATTTTTAAATGGTGTCTTCATCAGGTTTGCTGGTCATGTGTGATTTGCCTTTAATATTTATGAAAGTTTTTAACTCCCTCTTATTGGTTATAGTTTTTCCCATGGAGTATTGTTATTGAGTAATACGGCATTTGGAGTACACATCACTCACATACTACTTAAGAGTCTTATTGTTAGAAATTATATTTGAAACTTATAGTTTATGTTAGTGTAAAAGTTTGCAGATTTTTATGCTGCAATTGTGTGGGCATTTGACAGTTATCCATTCCCAGTACATTTGTGATTTAATTACTTAAAATAATTGTACCCCCTCAAAATTGACTTTCAACATGAAATTTGATGACCTGTAGCCATGCACAACTTGAACAGTAGCAGCATGTTTCGCGACTCCGGTCTGGGGCACCATGTCTCTGCAGGTTGACTCACCACCACCAAAACACAGGAGCTACACCCATTTGTCTTGGTGTATGTGTCGACCATAATTTAGAATGGTTTTCAGAATTCATTTGTGTGACTTGTTTTCTGAAGTTTTGTGTTCTGTCACATTTAAATCCTGTAAGAGGCTAGTTCAAGGGATAAATCTTATTTTTATTATTAAGTTCAAGAAATGTAATACATTCAGTGTTTAAGGGCAAATGAATACTGTTGTGTTTTCTTCTTGAGTCTTTTATTTTGCCGACTTAAATAAAATTGCATTCCATTTGACACATATCTAAAGAATTGTGCATCGCTGTTCTGTTCAAGGTTTAATTTATACACAAATGGATGAACTGTACGTTGTGCAACTGTTATTTTTTTGTTTTTTTTTTTCTAAGTAGGGCCAGCATTTCTTGTTTTGTGGTTTCCTTTGCATCAGGACGTGAAAGTAAGTCCTTACTAGTTAACTTGCTTCTTTTGGGTCATAAAATTCTTCATTTGTCTCCAACGCTGATGCCTTCAGTGAAAACTTTATCTACTTAACATTTTCTGTAAATATCATGGTTTGAAGCTCAGTAGATAGATAGTTCACTGTTAGCATTAGGTTTAGAGGGAAACGAATTAAGCAGCTCTGTAACCAGAAACATATGATTTCCCTTAAGAGAAAGTATATTTTTATATTCTATTGTTATGAATTGGGATAGATTATGTGCCTTATAATGTGTATATGTGAATAAAGTTCTAAGCTTGAAGCAATGTAAAATCTATTCCAGTCATATTTTTCTTAACTGTATATTGCATTTGAAACTAAATAGTGCGGGCACTACTTTATGTGGTACAAATTGTAAATTACATAATGTTGAAGGTCTCCCTGTAAGATTTCCAGAGAACACTGTGGAGTGGTGACCGACCTTTTCTTTTTGTGCATTTAAATGTATTTAATTGTTTGTACATCTGACTGAAATCTTTCATTTTGATTTTATATTCACTTGCATAACTTTGTTGTTGCCAAAATCATTTTAAATTATTCTTTTATCAAAGTGTCACCTGGAAGTAACACTTAATTCTTTCTCATTTTGCACCAAACTTAATATACACAGCGTGGCTTTGGTCCGGAAAGCGCTCTGCACTGTTTGTCATTGCGTGTGATGATGTATGTGTTCTTAAATATACAGTAAATCTGCTGCTTCCCAAGTTTCATTCTTTTAGTACCTAGATCCCATAACATGATATTTCAAACGGTATATGGGCCACGGTGGTGGTTACGAGGGTTGATACGACCCGAAGGTTGAAAATCGCTGTATGGCGTGAAGTTTTGGACAAGGAGCAAACTGGTAGCCAGCCGAGGGGAGAAAAACTTCACCACGCGAAAGACGATTGGGTTGCCTATGCCTGATTCTACGGGCGGCGGAGCGGAGTGAGCGGGTTGCCTATGCCTGATTCTACGGGCGGCGGAGCGGAGCGAGCGGGTTGCCTATGCTTGACTCTGCGGGCGGCGGAGCGGTACCGGCCCCGAAATGAGGGAAGTGGTTACCCAACACACCGAAGCTTGAAACGCATTCGGAGAGCCTCTCGAATTGGAGGCACTCGAACAGGGCAGCACCAACACGACGCCATCGGCCCTAGCATGCCGCAGCGTACACTAGCGGGGAGTGATGATGCGGGCTTTGCCCTGAGGCGAAGTGCCACTGTCACTGCATGGCTCATGGCTCTCGCGCTTCGGGGCACGAGGACGGCCTGGAAGATGCCTTTGACCGCAATGCAACGTCGGGGAGGGGGAAGGGTGGAAGAAAAGTTACGAGCGCTGCAGGGCCGTGCAGGGTGGGGCAGAACTAGGCAGGGCCGCCTTAAGGGCCAGAGTGATAAGCCATAAAGGCTGCACGGAGAGTCTGCAATGAGCACCTTGATAAGTCGTTTCATTGGGGCTTTGCGGTGCTGGGCGCAGGGCGCGGGGCCGCTGCGAGGGCCGCGGGGCTGCGGGGACCGCGGGGCTGCGGGGGCCTCGGGGGTCGTAGCCCTCGCGGTGCCGGCCTCCCCGCCACCCACCGCCACCCTCCAGCACCCCCACGTGACCGCGCGGGGCGCGCGGGACGTCCCGACGGTAAATAATCGATATACGGCCGTTGAGACCCACCGCCCCACACCGCCCTCACCACGCCCCGCCCCGCCCCGCACCACCCCGCCCCCGCGCCCCCATACACCAGTCGCCGCTTCGCCGCGCGGGACGCAGCGGGACGTCTCTGGCGAACGCCGCGCCGTCTTCGCTTTTCGCCGGACTTGTTTGGGTTTTCGCGTGTGTCGCCGCCGCTTGTGCGTACACTGTGGCGTGCGCGCGTCGTGCCGCGTGCCGCCCCGCTGTCCGCCGTCAAGGCACGCTTGTCCGCGCCGCGGAACGCCGCCTGCGCTGCCAGGGCCGCGCGCTGGAGGTGGTCGACTAACCTCACTTCGTCAACCCCCCGAGCGCCGACCGACCGCCGAGGGGTGCCGCGCAGCGCCGCGGCCAGCTCAAGGAGTGCACTCCCGTCCTTCCCGCCGTCGTCGCGACGCTGTCATGTGACGGCACGCCGAGGCACGCGTCAACGGTCCTCTCCGCCGCCGCGTACCGCGTACCCCACCCCGAGGGCGAAGTACCGGCCTGAGGGTCTTCTCGTGCGCGTACCGGACTGCTGCACGCCAACCGCGCCAGCCAGTCGGCTAGAGAGGCAGAACGCCGACCAGCTCGAGGAGGGTGTCCGCACTCCCGCACGCCCCCAGGACGCGCAGCTCGCCGCCGACTCCCAGCGTCACTTCCGCAAACCAGGTGAGATAGTGTACCGAGGGGTGCTGTGCTTGTCGTTGTCAGGGGACGGGTTGTGCCAGGCGGGGCGGGGCGGCGCGGGGCGGCGTCGGGCGGGGCGTGCAGGTGATAGTGGCAAGGGAGGGGGAAGGGGGCACCGCGGGAAAGGACGACGTGCGGAGTAATTAATGTAAAGGAGTTGCCGGCACTCCCCGAACTGCCGTGCTGCCGGCCTCAGCACGCCTCACGCCGCAACCAAAGTACAATTAATTGCCTAACAATAACTACCAAACTGCCATCAGCCCCATTTATTTAAGCCACGGCCTTCCGAGCCTTCTTCGGCTTGGCGGCCTGGCGACGCCCGGCTCGGCACGCCTTAACTTTTCTCCAAGGTGCGCGCGAAGTGTGCTCCACCGAGTGGCAATAACTCAACGAGACGAAGGCTTCGGGCTTCGGATGAGTGGCTCGTCTCATGTTTGGAGGAAAGGCCCCGCGCTCTGCAGAGTCCCATTCGGTTCCATTGTGCTCACTCTCTTTCGCTCTTCCGACATTGAAATCGCAGGCTTCGTACGAATAGACTCGCCACACTGAGATCGTGGAGCGACGACTGGTCTTTGTCTACCCCGTTTATCGGCTTCAGTCTTCGGTACATGTTGCACATGAATAAAGCAGGTCCTCTCGACACGAGGGTATCGAGGTATCGACTTGGCGCGACGAACGCGCTAAAGCGAGCGCGAAAGCAACCCCACTCCCCGTGCCCCTCATCCAATTCCAGGCAGCTTTGTCCTCTAGCTTCCTTCCACGGAAGCTATAAGGTATCACAGAGAAACTTAATTAAACGTGACAAAAGCCTCCCCTTCCCCCTCCCCCGCGGCGTCCCCGCGTCGCCGCGACCTCCCCAGCGACCGCCCCAGACACGGCCGTGTCGCGGGGGGCATCTTAAATTTTCAGCTCGTCGGCTGTGCGTCGCTGTGCGTTCGGGGCGCGCCGTCTCCACCTGCCTCTGTGAAGAGGCGCGAAAATTGACTCCATTTTCCGCGGCGTTTTCCAACCGCCCCCACCCTATCCCCGCTTCATCCGCAGCCTGCCGCTCACCTCACCGTAAAGTTCACACTTTAGCGCGCTATTCAGCCGTGAATTCTCTTGCTGTCAAATTTCCGGCGGTCTCTCCCTCCCCCCTCCCCCTCCCTTTCCCCCACCCCTTCCTCCTCCCCGGCTGCAGCGGGGGAAGGGGGAGGGGCACAATGGCGAGGCGGGATATGACTTCCTTTGACTAGCGGCTCTAGGCGCGGGGCGGCGCGGGGCGGCGCGGCCGGCTCTTGAGCCATAGATCTGCACACCGGTGGCGATGTGGCGGAGGCGTGGCGGAGGCGCCCCCTGGCGGCGGAGCCGGCTCGCGGCGCGGCGGTCCCTGCTGACTGATTCCGAGAGTCGTTTCCGTCGCTCTGTCTCTATCGCACTCATGGATCGCCCCTTGTGCGAGAGAGACCGGGCGACGAAAGCGACTCGGAATCAGTCTGCTGCCTCTCATCTCGCCCGCCCGCTCCAGCAAGCTCCAGCGAGCTAGTTCCGGCCTCCAGCGCCAGCGCTGTTCATGCAGGTGATCCGCCGTCGCGTCTGCATATTGTGGCGAAGAGAACCATCCCCGGGGAATGTCGCGGCGCGGCTCGGCGCGGGGATTTGCTTGCGGCTTTGCTTAAAATCCCACAATCTGGCGAGACACCGATCCCCAATCTGCCGTTCCTGTCAGTCGGGGAGAACTGCATTAAGAGTGGCTTGGGTTTGGGGGGGGGGGTGAAGACGGCCGTGTGTGCATTGTCCTGGCGCCCACCACGCCCCGCCCCTCCCCTCCCCGCCCCGCCTCGCCTCTGCTCTATATTGTGCCCGGCTAGCCAGACTATGGCCGCGGGCAGGGCGAGGGCGGGCAGGCGCCAGGCTGAGACAGACGGACAGGCGGCCATAGGCGGCCGGGCGGACCCAAGTACGAGACACGGCCACCACGGCGAGGCTCGTGAGGCCCCGTGCCCTTTTCGCCCCCCACCCCGCCCCTTCTCTGCCTACAACGCCACTCCGCCCCTAACACATACGTCCCGCGGTGTCCCAGGGGTGTCAGTCTGTGCCCTTCGAGCCCCGGCCGGGGAGTAGCAGCACCGCGGCACCGCGGCGCCGCGCCCTAGCCGTGCACAGTGGGCCAGAAGGCCGGTGGAGGCGGCCGAAACTCTAGACGCGTTTTGAGCTCCGGAGTCGCCAAACAGAACTCGAACCGAGCGCGTGAAAACTCTAAACGAGTTTTGATCTCAGCGTCGCTAAATGGGACTCGAACCGAGCGTGTGACCCCACCAATAGATTCCTCGTTCGGAGAGCAATCCATTGATGGGGTCACACGCTCGGTTCGAGTCTCTGGAGCTCAAAACTCGTCTAGAGTTCTGGCAGCCTCCACCGGTCTTCTTCCGGCCCACTGTATGGCGGCGCGGCGAGAGGCTGGAGGGGATTTGCGATTAGTTGGTTTGAGGCGCACAGATCGGGGCCGTAGGCGTCGGCTGTAGCGCAGTCCCAGGCGCGGCGGCCGCGGCCCGCGGTTCAGCCCCAGCCGAGCCAAATCGGCCCCCATTGGGGTTGGGCGCCCCCGCACCCCACGCCCCTCGCAAAGCCAGCAAGACGAACGTTCATAAATATTTTGCTTGATGGCGAATTGCTGGAATCCGTTTCGCTGGCAGCACTGCCAGATCGGCGTCCCGCGCCCTCCGCCGCTCTCCCTCTCACCCTCTGTCTCTGTCTCTCTCTTTCGCGGAGGCGCGTGGCGGCGTGGCGGCGTGGCCACGACGGAGCTCGTTAGTTCTGCCCGTTTGTGCGCGAGCGACTCGAGCGACTCGAGCGAGGCGCGCCGAGAAGGGACGGCCCTCCGCGAGGCCCTCCGCGAGGCCCTCCGCGAGCCGCGGCCCCGGGTTCGACCCCGCCCGCCGTGTGGTGTTTTTAGCTCCCAGCCTCGCCGGCCTCGCCCCCTCCCCCCTTTCGCCCCGACACGGCGCACGCGGCGCACGCGGAGCGAAAAGCGAAAAACACTTCCCCTCCGGCCTCCGGGAGCCGATTCGTAATTGTCCCTAAAAGAGGCCAGCAGGAGCGAGGCGGCTGAGGGCTGCCTGCCCCGCCTGGCTGCCTGGCCGGCTGCACTGAAAGCTTTCCCCGCCGGGGGAAAATTGGCTGGAAAAGCCGCATCGATTTTTACCTGCAGGTTTTGTTTCGCAGCCTTTTGCGGCCCGGGAAGCGCGAAGGGGCGCGGGCGCTCGGAAAGGCCTCTCGGCCGGATGCAGACTGACCGGAAAAGGAAGAAGCAGCCGCCAAAATGTTCGACTGCAGTTTTTTGTTTTGCGAATCCCGCCACGCTTTTGCCGCGTCCGCGTATTAGTTCTCCGGGGGG